TACATGATAGTTCTAGAAACAAGATAGCGTGAGAATTGTCACGTGATCTCGATGACGCAACAATATACTTAAAGGATCGAAAGTTTTGGGTTGTATTAAATATTAATTTTTAAGTATGTTCTTACTCTTAAAATTCTGTACTAATTTTTCGAGTAAATTAACATAACGGACTATGAGATCACTGTTTCTTTACTAACCTATTAATAAATAAGCAGGTGTTTACTATAAATAGCGTATAGAGCCATTGCTGTCGAGTTGTTAAGAGCGTACCTATAGTTTTATTATATCTGTTAATAATTCCAAGGGAAAACTCGGCAAATCCACTCAGGACACCTAACAACCTACGACAGATTGTGGAGTAGTTTACCATACTTACGCCCTATGGCGACTATTGTAGCAGATAGCGTACAGTACGGTACAGACGAAGATGGTGCTGGTATTCACGACGTAATGGGTTAGTATTTTTCTTTAAAAGAATACTTTATCATAAGGATATAATCAAAAATTCATATGTTTTTGGGGTACAGAACTATAACGATATAGTTTTAGACTTATCATTGCATAACATTATCTCTTCGGTAATTTTTTTTATCACTACAAATAGGTAATGACTAGTGTTATTCCTCAATCAAAGGGCATTAAAATTGGAAAAGTAAATAACATAATGTTACGACATCGGGGTCACGTGACGCCGATGTATCACGCCACAAGCTTCTCGAACATTCACGTCCCTTCCTGAAATATCGGGAATTTACTAGATCTCGGTATTCTTTTATATATAAGACGGTCACAACATAACGGGAAGGTAATGAGTAATAGAACTGCGGACAGAGAAAGAATATTGTTGGGCACGTGAGACATTCGTTGTGAGTTATAGCGTTTGTTATAGCGCGACTTTTGAAATTAAGTGTATCGCAAAGTTGTATTCAGAAAGAATAAACCAGTTTTATTTAAGAAAGGACAATGTATCGGTAAAGTTTCTTCGGTAATAATTTTTACGGAACATTAACTAACGAACGGAGACGTAACAATATACTTACTTTCATCCATTTTGAGTGTCAATAGTAAGTGTTGAAGAGTTAATAAATATTTATACAGCAATGGAAAACTCGCGAGAAATATACATGTAGGACTCACAAACAACGAGTAATGGCAAGTAGATTGTGAACTTAATATAAAACACAATCACAGGAAATAAAAAAGCGAAGGCAATAGTCTCTACAATGCACTAGCTATTTCATGCTTTAATAATTTATCAATACACAAATGTGTAATATTGCTGCAATTGTTCTGTCACTTCTCACAATTCAGCCAAGTTGTTTGGTCACCTTTTGGAATATTGCTACGATTGTTCTGTATTACTTCTCACAATTCCGCCAAGTTGTTTGGTCACCTTTTGTAATATTGCTCCAATTGTTCTGTGTTACTTCTCACAATTCCGCCATGTTGTTTGGTCACCTTTTGTAATATTGCTCCAATTGTTTTGTGTTACTTCTCACAATTCAGCCACGTTGTTTGGTCACCTTTTGCCTTATGAATGTACACGTCGGGACTTTGTGCAGACCAGACAATGGTTACGAGTGTTACATCAGTCCTTCTACAGTCAAGAGATCGTTTTCTTTATAGAGCTGGGATCATTGTCTTGCTGGAAAATAAGTCGTGTTCCTGAGGTAACAATATTATATGTCAGAATGTACAAGGACATGTCAGCAATCAGGGTGCCATAAGTTTTTGTAAATCACCAACATTCTGGGCTGAGTTGCAGCCCGAAACTTGTACTGATCCCCCACTATGCTTTTCTGTATATGTTGTACATTGACAATGATACAGTTCTTTGCTGTTGAGCAAACTATATATGTAAAGATCATACATCTTCACTATATTTACTTCACTATTTATAATACCATTCTCATAGCAACTTGTGGTTTGGTTACCTCTTCTCGAGCAGCTACACGTCTTTTAAGACCACGTCATACTAATATATTACAGTGTTATTGAAGTAACATTCACACCTGTATTTACAGCAAGGTCATTGACACGATCTGTACTCGACTGTCGCCCATTTCGTAAATGAAATACCCTGAGATACTTAATAGTATTTTTGGAGTTTCGGTTTGCTTCTTCGATCCACAAATACCCTACTGGAACATGGAGTCTTGCTGCAATTTTCAATACTGCTGCTACTGATATCTTTTATTTTTATAGGATGTATACTGACATGACATTTTCTGATTGGTAAGATGAAAACCAATCAGAATTTAAACTATTAAAAAGTGACTCTACTCAAGTGCAGATCTTTTCACACGATAAGGGGGGGGGGGTGATATTCTCGTAATATTTTGTGGTTTATAACCTTTTCCTCAATGTTTTCACAATTATTTCTAATACTTGTATGTCATAATAGTTGTTTAGAAAGCATTAGATAACAATTTTGTAATGACGTGAACTGTAAGTTGCAAGGTAAATGGTAAAAATCTGAAGAATCTATATTATATCAATACTACCAACAACAAGATCTAGGGCACTTCTGGTAGAATTTATAAGTAAATCTGCAAAGAAACGGAATATAATATGTACTACAAGGTTGTAAGGATACAGAAGATAAATCAGTAGTTCTTTATTCACCAGGCCCGGCATGGCCAGGTGGTTAGAGTGCGCGACTCGCAATCTGCGGGTTCGAATCCCCGTCCCACTAAACATGCTCGCCCTTTCAGCCGTAAGAGTGTTATGATGTGACTGCCAATCCCATTATTCTTTGGTTAAAGAGTAGCCCAATAGATGGCGGTGGGTGGTGATGACTAGCTGCCTTCCCTCTAATCTTACACTGCTAAATTAGGGACAGCTAGCGCAGATAGCCCTTGTGTAGCTTTGCGCGAAATTCAAACCAAACCAAACTCTGTTGTTAGAGGACAATACTAATGGCGATGTGAAACTGAAGCCTTTGCTCGTATACCAATCCGAAAATCCTAGAGCCTTAAAAAGCACTGCAAAAGGAGAGTTTCCTGTTGTATCATTTGGGTAACAAGAAATGTATTTTCAGACTGGTTCAACACCGTTTTTGTGCCATTTGTTGAAAAATATAACCAAGAAAGTAATCTCGATTACAAAATCCTACTTTTGTTGAACAACGTCCCTGGCCACCCAGTCAACCTAAATGAATTTCACCCCATATTAAAGTCATATTTTTGCCGCCGAATACAACCTCCATTTTACAACTTAAGGACCAGGGTGTGATATTTGTTTTTAAAGCCTATTACCTACAAAAAACAGTGGAATAATTAATGCGTGTGTCAGGATTTTATGCATATGTGGGCTGAGAATTCTTCTACAGTAGGTGTCTGTGATAAATTCAACAATATTGAAATAAAATATTCAAAACAAGTCAAACTATGTACAAAAATTATTTACACTATGGATATCTGAAACTCTACATAATTGTGAAAAGTTCACTTAGGATGATTCAATTACGTTAGAATCCAATTAACAAGATGAACTATTTTACTCTACTCTTATCACAATAGTATCAGTAAATAATTCACTTACGCTACCCAGTGGGTTATCAAAGTAGTATCCTGAACTTCAAATAATTGTCTCCTTTTCGTCAAAGTCTACATAAACGTGTTGAATTACTTTAGAACTTCCTTTGACAAGACAAATCATTCTCCTTATCTCTATTAAAGTGTGAAACTCATTTTAAAATATCACCCATTAATGCTAATCACTCACACACCAGCTAACTTCACGTGTTTTTTTTTTTGTTTTTTTTTACTTTTCTATGAGTGAACTTTTCTTCCATTTCATTTGATTTGCGCTGGTTTGGTCGTCTCTATTTATATGTTGGTTACCGAGTCCTGGAACTTTCTGTAAAGTGTACGAACAGCGCTGATTTAACAATACTCAGTTAAAATAACGAGAAAAATACTGCAGGTTCGAGTAATGTGACGTCAACAATATTAGTAAAGCCTCCACAACAATATAATTGCAAACACAACTTACGACTATTACAGAGTTATGTAACAAAAATTTGTCACAACCAACACTTTTAAGATAATCTTTCACACTGCTGTCATGAAACTAAACATTTATTAAATATTAAGTCACAAAATAAACTAGATAATAACACTTACACTAAACAGTCTTGTATATCCAACACCGTGCCACCAAAGGAGAAGAAGGAAACATCAGGACATATTGGAAGGAATTCAATATTAAAAAAAAAGCAATTTACAATGTCGCTTTGTCATGGGCAGACATCACATAATTGGCTGTGAATGGGGTATGGAAAAAAATTGGCCTACATGCATCACCAATTTCAAAAGCTTTAAAAATACATTACCTCAGTTGACAATGGGAATTGTTTGGCTTGCTCAGGATGCTGGCTCCAAAGAGGTGAAGGGAGCAGACATAGAAAAACTGCTGGCTGATAGTTTCTAAGAACTGACTAACGATGAATTAATGCAAAATGACGGAGATCGGGCAGCAGCCAAATCAGACAGCAATCCTGACAAAGGCTATGATAAACCAAAGGTCATAACTTTAAAAGAATTATCATATTTTTTTTCACTTGCTGATGACTTTAACAAAGTAGTTTCAGACATGGACCCCAACATGGAAAGGAGCAGCTCATTCAACAGAAACTTGGAGGAATTATTAAACTGTTACAAAGAAATTTATCGAGAAACAATCTTTGTTTGTAATTAAGCACAAAGCTACACAATGGGCTATCTGTGCTCTGCCCACCACCGGTATCGAAACCCGGATTTTAGCGTTGTAAGTCCGCAGACATACCGCTGTGCCACTTTGGACTCCTTTAAAAGTAACAAAAGTCGGCAAACGGTGTTAGGGTCTGAAAAAATTTATTTTAGAATAAACAGGTTTTTAAAATATTTTTTGTATTTATTTGTCTTCAAATTAAATATCTTGCTTGTAATATTTGTTTCTTTACATAAATACACATCAATATATCTTTTTACAGTGGTTTATACCATTTATAAAGTTGACTTTTAAGGGAAAAATAATTTTGCAGGAACGCATCCTTGACTTTTAACATTGTTCCTATGGGAAAACCTGCATATTGTAACGCGCTGTTTTTTAGGAACGCATACCGCGTGTCACATCGGGTATACCTGTACCTCCTAAACACATAAACATATACTTGACACTCCATTTATTTGTACATGATTATATGCTATGTCATGTGATCGCTTGATATCTGTGTATTTACAAATGTGGTCAAATTATGGTTAGTCCGCAAGGTAAGAACAATAAGCTCTACAACTTTCAAAGGTGTATGATAGAAGATACCCATGTAAATGGATCTAATTATGAATAACCGTTATTTTGACTTACTGGTTAATTCAAATATACCTGTCATCAATGTAATTTAAAGGGTACACATCTGCCAAAGACAACAACAACAAACTGTAGCTGTCACCTGCTGGTGATTAAAGACTATTTTAGCAAATCTGCTTGGTTTGAAAATAGCTATGTTCCTTGTACTGGCCTTCAAATGTGTAGCAATCTCCGAATGCAGGGTTAGTGCGTCTCAAAGATGAATGTGTATATGGTTTAAAGTAAAATGTGTTTCAAAACATGTTTAACTGTAAGAAATTTTTAAAAAGTGTACGACAGAGAATTATTCCTACTGTAGTTTATAGGGGGGGGGGGTAGTTTTATGATATCTGCATGTCATACCTAACGAAATGATTACATTAAAACAGTTTCCAGTTGTTTGTGGGGTGTGCCGCCCCAAATTCATGTGATTATCACAACATAAGATGATGAGTAATTGTTCTCAAGAAGTGACCAGTTAATGTATCAGATTAAACGTCTTGTGAACAGTCATGGTTGAAATGTCCGTTAATTTCTTAACTGTTTATTGATATAGGTACCAGATGTGACCCTTATACTGTCCAGAAGATCACTGGACAATGGCCAGAAGTTACCTGTCACCAAAGTTTGATAAATGCAATTGAACCATTTGGTTTGACGGAAGAGCACGTACACGACGTTTTTAACATATTTATGTGTTCTGGATGGACTAAGGTAAATGAACATAAATAAACAACACTATGAACACACTACTGATATTCGATAGTATAGATATCTTGCTGAACAAAACAAAGTGCAATTAAATGAAATAATTCAGGAAATTTCAAATTATATTCAAAAAATGTTTTCTGTTATTTTCAGTCCTGTGTTTGACCAGAAAATCATCAATTAACATACCCACTCTTAATTTTTGTGGAAATCAAGGAAAATCTTATCAACACTGCTAATCGGTTTAGATTGTCAACAATAATTGTTTATTTTTCAAATATTTTCTTTCAAAATATATAGAAATATTGTTAATGATGTTTCAGGTATTGATTTTATCATAAAAGATTTATCTAAATTGATTAATATTCAGAAATTTAAAGTATTTCAATTCTTTTAAATGCGATGTAAAAATTTTCATATCTTCATACAACCACATCCACACTTTCACTAGCTATATATCTCCAATTTTATGTATACACCTGGAAAAAAGTTAAGCACCCCCGTGTTTTTTTCAAGTGATTCAGATTCGACGTTCTTGTGACTGATTATAAATTACCATTCAATCTAAACGTGTTTATCAAATGAAACTATGCATTATTGGGCACAAGAAAACAAGATTATCACCGTAAAATACAATTTTT